TGAGAAGGCAATATAAGTGCGCCTTATACTCAATAACGGGCCGAATAAAGGTTTTATAAGTGTGAGTGAGAGTCACGTTGTTTGTTTTGCCGAACGTTCCCGATAGCGGGACTAGGAGACGGGCTCTGTTTCTGACCCTATCTAAAGTTGCCTTTAGATCAGGTGCCCAATTGAGTGTTTTAGTGAATAAAACGCCCAAGTAGGTAGCTGTGGGACTAGTTACGAGCCTTTCTCCCATCAGGTATAGGGGAGTTTGGTCCTCACGATTGTTGATGAGTCGTGATGAGGTGTAAGGGGCCCGAAACACAATGGTTTGGGTTTTCCCTGCATTTAACGTGACTCTCCACTTATTGCACCATTCTTCGATGCCGTTTAGTTGAGCTTGTGCTCTTCTAAAGGTGGCCAAAGGAAGGTAATCACTCCCTGTCGCTAGGAGTGCAGTGTCATCCGCGTAGAGAAACAGATGGGTGTGTGGAGTGTTCGAGATGGGGATAGAGCTGTTGTATGTAGTCTTAGCGAATTTGAATAACATTAAAGTAATACCTACCTTAAAAGGTTTGCAGGTATAATAATAAACTATAATCTTTTAACAACAGGGCAATATCTTAACCATAATAAAAGTATTTTAATTTGAATATTTCTTATGTAGCATTCTGTGAATTTTTATAGATAATAATTTTATGGTATTTCCTAAAACTTAAGATCGTTGGTGGTCAATGTCTTCATTTAACAATGAACATCGCGCATCCCTATTCAGTATCAGTCGAGTAGTTTCGCGTTAACGTTTATTTCTGTATCTCGATCTAAAAATGAACTATTTGTGTTTATAATAATTATTTGTTTGCTAATTTAAAGTTTATGTGGTAGTTTTTTTTTTTTTTAGTTTTATTAAGACTTTTCAAAGTTGTGCGTTCTAATTTTTAATTTAAAATAGTAGTTTTTTAGTTTTATTAAGTCCAAGTTTGTGCGTTCTAATTTTTAAGTTAAAATGTCCAGTTCTACCGATTCTGCGGAGGAAGTTACACCAAAAAAGCGATCAAAAATGCGTCCTTTTAGTAGTACTGAAAAAAGTGTTATTTATAATGTTTATACATCGACAATAGAATCGCATCCAGAAGCTTTGGTATCGGAAATAGTGAAACAGACAGCTATTTCTTGTGGCGTAGGTGAAGCTTCTGTGTACAGAATTCTTAAAGAGCAGAAGAATACCGGAACATTTTCTTCCCCGAAAAAGACTAAGCCCAGGAAAACTATATTGGACAAAATTGATGATGCCGATAAATCGGCCATACGACGAATTGTGCATCAATTTTTTTTTAAAAACGAAATACCTACTATACACAAAGTTCTTTCAGTTGTTAATGAGGACGAAAGCTTGCCGAATTTTAAAAGCACTACATTTTATAAACTCCTCAAATCACTTGATTTTAAATACGTACGGAGGGGCAGAAATAGTGCTTTGTTAGATCGAGACGACATCATCTTGTGGAGACGAAATTTCTTAAAATCCATAAAAAAATTTCGGGAACAAAATAGAAAAATTTACTATTTAGACGAAACATGGGTAAATTCAGGACACACAAAATCCCATGTTTGGGTTGACGAAACGGTGAAATCTTCCATGCAGGCATTTTTGTCTGGTTTTTCAACAGGTCTTAAAAATCCATCGGGCAAGGGAAAAAGACTTATTATTACCCACATAGGGAGTGAAACAGGATTTGTAGAAGATTGTTTATGGATGTTTGACTCAAAAAAGAGCGGCGATTATCATGAAGAGATGAACGCTGAGAGCTTCGAAAGGTGGTTTGCAAGTACATTGCCTCGGTTAGAAGATAATTGTGTGATAGTTCTTGATAATGCCTCTTATCATTCCCGGAAAATTGAAAAGATACCCACAACATCATGGAATAAACAAAAAATAAAACAATGGCTACAGTCAAAAGACATTTATTTCGATGATGATATGTTAAAAGTGGAACTTTTACAATTAGTGGCCCCCCTTAAGGCAAAGTTCAATAAATGTGTCGTAGACGAAATGGCAAGAGAACAAAATAAAACCGTGTTACGTTTACCACCATACCATTGTGAGCTCAATCCAATTGAGCTCATATGGGCTGACGCTAAAAATTTTGTTGCTGCTAATAACAAAACTTTCAAGTTCGCAGATGTAAAAAACCTTTTTGATGAAGCTGTTAACAACATCACCCCAGAAAAATGGAAAAATTGTGTGGATCACGTTAAGAATATAGTGGAAAAAAAGTTCTGGGAGCTGGATAATATTATGGAGGTTATAGTGGAACCAGTAATTATAGAAGTTGGTCCTAATAGTGAGAGTGACATATGCAGTTATTCCTCATCGGAGTAAAAATACTGATTGTATTTTTACAACAACTTATCAGCATCAACACTGACATAAAAATTTGCGAATAAACTCAGAGTTACACAACGAGCCATGGAACGTGCAATGCCTTCGAGACCACATAACAAACCAACAAATCAGGTAAAGATCAGGAGTTCACGACGTCATTGAAAGAACTACTAAGCTTACGTATCATGGAATGACGAATCATGGAATGGAGGCCCAGAAACTATAATAAAAGAATCCCAGGACGACCACCCAGGACATCCCAGAATTATATAAAAGAATCCCAGGACAACCACCGACTAGATGGACAAGTAGCCCAGTGAAGTGAACACTGGAAGGAATTGAGGGGTACCTATGTCCAGCAGTGGACGCAATTGGCTGATTGATGATCAACATCAAGGAACTAACCACATAAAGTAAGTACTGATATAAATTTAGGCAGCCATTTTGATTTATTCTTCTGAAATTGAAATATTTGAGATCACTTAGTAGTATTGGCTGAATTTTTGGTTTAGCTTTGATAAATATCTATATAACTTTAGAAACTTGCTTAGGAATAATTAATATTTTTAAATGCCAAACCACATTTTATTTATTTCACACACTCTTACAAATTTTGTTAACTTTAAAATGGATAATATAGACGCTCTTTATACTTTATATTAATGTTTATTATTATTTTACCATATTTTTCTGACAACCTGAATGACCTCTTTTTTTCACTTATTTTCTTTTATATTGTAAGGGTTCTGTCACATAAATGTCGCTCATTAAATATTTTTCATTTACAAACAAATCCCTATTTCTAATATCATTTAATTTTCTTTGAATATATTAATAAATACCTTGTTTATTATTATTTTATTAATGAATATTTAAATTAATCTTTCATTTCTAATCTGAAAGTGTAAAACTCAATCACAATCAAAAATCTATAATTTTCATACAATTAAAAGGTTTAATCAACTAAATGTCACATTATGTGACATTTTTAAAATAACAATAAATTCAACATTATAATTAAAACTTTAAACATTTCAAAACTGCCAAAAACCCATCCTAAAAAATTCTTGCCTTTCCTAGTATATTACTTAAGCTAAAAATTTGACGTAGTTTCAAGTGTTATGTAAAAAACATATTAATCGTGTCAGAGTACACCCCTGAAGAGGGTGGAGCGGTCAGAACCTTCAACCAGTTAAAATATTCGTATCCCTATACAAGGCCTATTTATTTGTTTTGGTGCACTATCTCGACTCGGTGAAGATACTATAGGTATACATATTTCTTTGTTTTTGTTTTGTATTAACGATAGTGCTTTTAGAATTGCGAATAATTTAGCTGAAAAGATGGTTGTAATTGACGACAATTTGAAACTAACTGAGGAGTCTTCCGAATAAATTGCTGCTCCAACTCTGTCTTCATTTTTTGACGCATCGGTGTATACGTTGTAGGTATTGCCATATTTGTTTAATAGTGTATGAAACTTTTGTTTAATGACGGTTGATGATATCTCTGTTTTTCTTAAGTTTGTTAGACTGATGTCGATAGCAGGAATATATATTTTCCATGGTGCAGGAATGTGGATTGAAGAAGTATCATAAGGCCCGTTTTCACGCTACGTCTTATTGTACGTTTTGTTGGTCATATAAAACGTACGACAAAACGTACGTTTTGTCCAGTGTATACACACTATGTGTTTCCTTCCGACAAGACGTACGTTTTGCTGTTTACATGCAACGTTTTATTGTATAGGATTTGTCCTATCCAACAAAACGTACAATAAGACGTAGCGTGAAAACGGGCCTTTAGGTTTTTGGAAATTTAATTTGGATAAGTGTAATTGTATACGAAAGTAAAAAGGATGATCAATTTGATGTGTTTGGTGAAATTAATTTGTAAATCGATCAGCAAAACGTTATGCAGTACTGTTTATCTTTGAAGCACTATTTTATTGTTTTTCATTGATTTTTATAAAAAAAAATGCTGCGAAATCGTTTTTTTGCCTCTCCTGTAAAATTGAGTAAAGTGAATTTAGCAGGTTAACACTTTAAGGCGACGATATGTAATAATTGTTTTCCTTCGAGATGTTTTAGACAAAATAATAATAAAAGTCGATTTGAATTTAACTATAGACGGGATGCTATTTCATTCCCTAATCCCTAATGACATTTTCCTCTAAATCTGTTTGTTCTGTAATATAATAATATATTTAATAAACGTTTGGTAAATTTTTTACAGCAAAGAAATTAATTTTTGTATACTTCAATATCTATTGTTTATATTTTTCTCTAGCCTGATGAGTTACGTCAATTATTTTAGTTTTCTCTTAATTGTTTTTGATTCATAATTTATGCATTGCGATAGTTAAAGGAAATGCATAAGACGGCGCCTCATTGATTGGCAGCAGGAGTTTTCGCTACGCTAAACTAGGCGCCCTCGCTTCACAAGCTAGTGCGACGTCCACATTGGCTAGCCACTCCCTCCAGTCTCGAATCAGCCGAGCGCATTGGTCGCCGTCTCCCCTCCAAGCATATAAAACCCCGAGACTGCGACAAATTCCTCAAACTCTACTCGACTTTTGTCTGTATCTGTTTGTTATCGTGTTTCATCAGTTCGTGTTCACAGTTCAGTGAAAATGAAGGCCGTAGTCAGTGCATTGTGTACCGAAAACGGGATTTCCGCTATTAGCGGAAAAATTACCAAGCGTAAGGATATCGAGAACGAGGAAATTCAGATGTACCTCTCCAAACTCAAGGATCTCGTTCCGTTCATGCCCAAAAACAAGAAACTATCAAAATTGGAAGTTATTCAATACGTTATTGACTATATTTGTGATTTACAAAGTGCTTTGGAAACGCATCCTGCCGTCAACGCTTTCGATGCAGCTGCTGCTCTCGGACAGAAGAAGTCACAAGCAGCAATCAGCCCCAGGCAGCCTCTAGGAGTCAGGCCTAGCCCCAACACCATCCTCGCACCATGCGAAGCTCCTATTCTTCAAAATGTCACGGTAAGTCGATACATAATTAATTACATCAAAAACAAACCACCAACTCATGTTTAAATATCACTACATTGCAAATTTTCCTATTCCTATATAAATCTAAAATTACTGCTAGATGCACTTTTGTCATCACACCTCTTGAGTCAGTTCCATTCTTGTAGATTCTGCATTTTCCAATTTTTTCCGAATAATCAATACATGCTGTTCATTTAATGACGTCACTGTGCAAAACTGTTTTGCAACCTTCTCGTTTTCTATGACAAAGTCGTTGAAATTGTTTATTTTATTACTGGTTTAAAGCAGTTTGTTACACCGCACATTTCCCGTGACTTTCCAAATGTAAATATCCAAAAAAAATCGCCAACTGTAACAGCTGTTCAACTGTGTCAACAATTTCGTCAAACATTTAGACTTGCTCTTAATTATTGTGAAATGGACAAATTTAGATCATAATTTAGGCAAGATCAGTCTCGAAAAATAGTGAATTATGGACCACCATATAATTTTTTAATATCGATTACTGCAATGTTATTTTGTGCATGATTTTGCAGATAAAAAAATGTAAATGATTGCATTTAAAGTTTTCACCATCTCTGTTTATTTGCATTTTCATAGTTACCATTTTCAACACCTAAGTTGAATATTTAATTTGTAAACATTCTTACTAAATAAACAACATTTTTTTATACATACATTCTATGACATTCATAAACAGATTAAAAATGTAGCTTGTATTTGAGGGTACGTCCTTGTACCCTCACGAATCGACTTCAACCTTTATATTAAAAAAAGTTGTTGACTTTACGTTTCTTGTTTTAAAAACAAGGTTGTTCAATAATCCGCGAGTTATTACAATGTACCTACCTTGAATTTTTGTCTGACAAGCAGTTTTTTTCTGTTAAGTAACAGGGTCAAATTATTTCACACCTTTTTGTAAAATGCCAACATTATTCCCATAACTGTTATTCACGGCATTGTGCTTTTAATCAAAGCAGGTGTCTTTTATTTTACATACCATGTTCCCCATTGTTCCGAAACACAATATAGATACATAATATTAATTGTGCGGCAGAAATTTATAAAAATTCAGTGACCCGGTATCCGGGAGAGGACACCTGGGTTTGGGATATGGGGACAACCGTTAAATGCAGATGTGTACTAAATGAACACGTGTGTGCTGTGAACACTCGGCTCATTGATCGGCAGTAATAATGGCTGTATTGAGACGAGAATTTCTCCCCAAGACACTTTCTTATCTTATGACCAAGTGTTTCTTTTTAACAGACTGATAGGCCAGGCATATTTGTGGTATTTTGCAACTACGTCCTGAGTTAATTCTTGAATATGATGAGTTGTGGAAATATTTTATCGTATTTAGATAACTACTAAATTACTTGTTCATTTTATTTTCTAATCATTGATTATTTACTCATTATCTAAGTATGTATAAAGATTTGTTGTTTATACACAGGTGTTTGCACTATAAATGAATCTAAACTTATTTTTTTTTTTATAAAGATATCAATATTTTATCCTATACATTTGAAACACGATACAGAAAACTTGAAAAGCACACCTGTTTGTACTTATTTAGCTAAATAAGTACACAGTGTAGTAGAGTCACCTACAAAAAAACAGCTACCATGGTAAAAGCGGGAAGAAAACGATTGATAAGAAAACCACGAGTTAAGATGGGAATCAATTTATACCCAAAAAAAGTTCAAAACAAAATTATCCAAAAAAGGAAAGTTACTCTTGATACAAATAGTAAGAATGCAAAATATGTTAAGTCTTGAGACCAAAGGAATATGGAATGAAACATCGTGAATAATATAAAATAATAGTCAAGGGAATCTTCATTGTTTACTTAACTATTTTTTTTTTAAGATTTAATTTCAATTCAGAGCACTTCCATTCACTTAATACGTATTTTGTCAATTTAGACCCATTAGAGCGAGCTTGTGGTAGCTCTGAATTCGTATTTTGAAAACGTCTGTTTGCTTTGTATATTGTAGAAAGCACAGATTTAACGTTTTTCTGAATTGATTTCGAACGAAGTTCTATTGGTTGACAATAATTTCATTTTTATATAGTAAATCTGCCATAAATTGTTGTTTATTTACTTCCTTAATCATAACAGCGAGCAAAAGTACGTGTTAACTAACAGTTGTCAGAAGAAATTGAAATTAGATGTGGAGTAAGACAGGGATGCGTATTGTCGCCAATTCTTTTCAATGCATATCTGGGAACAATGATTAACTCCACAAATGATTACATTCAGGAAATCAAAATCAGAATAGAAAAGGCTAGAGCAAATCTCAACAAAATGAGAAGGGTGCTGTAGAAGATTCCGAAACTATCGTGGACAGAACACGCCACAAACAAAGGGGTTCTGAGAAGGATGAATAAAGAAATGGAAGTTTGAAATACAATTAAAGCAAAAAAATTAGAATATCTCGGACATATTACACGTGGAGAGAAATGCTCCAACTGATTACGCAGTAATTGCGCAGATTACTGCGCAACCTGAGAGAGTGGTACATCAAATCAGCCCCAAAAGCCCGAATAGCTATGATGATTGCCGACCTTCGCCGCATAGATGGCACTTGAAGAAGAAGAATGATGAGTAGCAACTCAGTTCTCGTTTTTTCACGATGTTCTTGTTTTAATAGCTTTTTCCAGTTGTCTTTTGCCTAATTGTTGCTAAACAGACAGAGTTGATAATTTCTGAGTTGTTTTGTCATTACCCTTGCTATTAACAGATAGCTGACAAATAGATAGTAATATAACTTTTCCGAGAAAAATCTTTGCTTGATTCATAATTAATTGACACCTACCAGAAAATAGCAAATAAAATTCACTTTTGACACTGTACCAAAAAGTATCATCTGAAATCTTACACATCTCAATTTGAGCATAATTTATGGCCTTACTGCACAAAATTTCTTCTGATCAATACATGTGTACATTGTTGATTAATACTTATGGCTAAAGCGAAAATGAGAAATCTATTTTCTATAAAACAACAAATAAATGTTATTTTTCGTAGCCGTTTGAAGGTTTCTACACCTAAAAAATACTTTTTTTGTTCAACATATAGAGAATAATTGTCAGGTACTCAACCGACAGCAATATTTTTTAAATGCCACATTAATTTCTACACTTTTGGCATCCTAATGGGTTCTTTAGCGCTACAAAAATGTACATCTGTGCGCGATAAAATATCGTACAGCAGTCAGTGAAGTGTTGACACACAGACCGGACTATCAGACAAATGTCCCTGATAAGATTGAAAAGGTCATAATGTCTGGATACTCGCACACATGTTTCGGGGGTTATAATTAATTAAAAGCTCATACAAGAATAGAACAACTGCCCCTATACGCGACACTCGCATACACAGCTGCAAGCACCTCCATATTTTTAATCAGGATACATTGGGCTGAATGTATATTTAAGAATTGAGACACTTTTTTAAGACGATGTGTGTGAGGGGGCGACTTACACACGTGCATGACTACGATTCCGATGAATACCGTTATTATAGTTGAGATTGCTGAAAGAAATATTTGTTGAATCAAGGAACAGATGTGCAAGACCAGACCGTTTTAGCCTACCCAAATAAAGACTGAACAAAATGCCTTGTCCATAAGCATCATGGTTGATAAAATTTATTTTATATTTGCATTAAATTATCAAATAATTTGTTGTTTGTTGAAATTTTTTAGCTCCTACAAAACAAAAACTGTTTTCGCTTTAAAATTCATCAGATCATTTTACTATTTTTATTAAAATATTTTTCTCATTTCAGTTCTGCTTTTGCAATAAAAGTTTTTCATATATTTGGCTTTGTCAGTTTTGTTTAACTCTGTTTTTGTTTGTGCCAGTTCGTATATAAACTTGCTATAAGAACTATGCTTTCAATTACCAACTTCCACACCAAAATAACTATTTATTTGTAATTGTAAATTGATCAATATATCAAAGCTACAAGGAAACTGTATTAGGTTGTTATGGAAACTGATGTGTTTGGAAATTCTTGTCCATTTTTTAGTACGTGTTTGTCCTATGTAGCAATTTTTTTTTAATAATTTTAAATACTAAATAATACATTTACTTATCTGTATTTTCTTTTGTTACAGAGTTCAGAAGCTTTAACGCCATCAGATAGGCAGTTGTCCTGTTAAGAAACATATTGATCTCCATCACCGTGATCATTTTCATCTCATTCCATTTCCCTGGAAGAAGAAAAACCAATGAAGATAGAAGCACCGTTTGGATATAAAATCTTTGAAAAAGAATCCGGGGAGCCGACTGATTATCATCTTAATTTATATATTTCGGGTGATTGTAAACTTTTTTGTGCGAATGGAGGATGTTGTAGCTGCATTTGGTGTTATTGACGCACCCAGAGGAGGCCCCTGTAACTGGATGCGCCAGTGCATAATGACACGTACCTGTTATGTTGCAATTTGTTTATTAGATTTTATTTTATTGTTTTGTACATAAAAAAGAGAATAGGCGGGTTTACAACAATTTAAAAGCAGCTTTTTAATAAGTAATCATATTTTTTATATATAATGTTCGCTAGTTTAACAGTCACAGATTCATTTTTCATTTGTTTCATCCAAGAGCGTCGCAGAGAAAAATATTTGGGGATCTCGATCTCTGAAAAATTCGTTCTTGGTTCATTTATTCTAATAGTTCGTGAGTGTTTTATTCTGTGATTTTTTTAGTATGTAATCGTGTACAAAATAGTATCCTCCGAGGAGGTTTTTGTATGTTGTCGTAGCGATCTCTCGAAGGCTATATGATGGGTTTCGAGGATGGCGAACTCAACAATTAAATGTACATTTTGTTCTAGAAAAACTTTTGTAAATAGTTACCTATATAGCAACTTGATGTTGTTGAAATTTTATTATTATATGAAGATATTTGAATTAAATAAATGACTAATGATTTTACATATTTCTTTTGTTTTTAATTAACCAATCCCTCAAAATACAAAGGCTAGATACATTAAAAAACTAATGAAACACTAATGAAAGACAGCTAATTGAAAAAATAATTAGTGTATAGTGTATGAAGAAATATATTTATAGATAGTTATAAATATCTGAGGTAGGTCAGGAATTTCCTGGCCCTCTACCTCTCCAAATTTTCTTTTAGTCTTGCTTTACCGATCACTATATAACCCAAATTATATATAGTCCGGAGATTCCTAAAAGAAATTGCCCTTTTAAAAGTTTTCTATATATATAATGTCGGTTTACAACATTCTTCGACGTCTTCCAATCTCCATCTCATTATATCGTTCCATAGATCGTCCTCCATTTCTCTTCCTCTGATTTCTTTATCAACTCCTCTCCAACTTCTAGGCCTTCCTGGACTCCGTCTACCTCTTGGTTGCCATTCAATAATTTGTCTTGGTATTCTATTTTTTTGGCATTCTCCTTACGTGTCCGTACCATCTGAGTTGTCGTTTTGATGTCATCAACAATATTATGTGTAACTCCCATGATTTCTAGGACTCTCTTGTTTGTTTACACAAACACAAAGCACATAAATTTAACTTGGGAGCCAGGTTCTTGTAAAGCAGCAAGTTCTTTCTTGACGAGTAAGACTATTAGTGCATCATTGACCGATTGCAGCTCACCTACAATCTCCTCCTTCGACATGTTTGGCAAAGCTCACCCAAATTCCTCTTGTGCGCTTCTTATAACATCGTCCACACAAACACGCCATCTTCTGATCCCCAGCTCCTTAGTAGTCCACTACTTCTATAAATAAAACATCATTCATCACGTTTTGTCACACCATCACTACTCCGCAAAAAAAAATATCCTTTCCTTGAAGAAGCGAAAAGATTAAAACTCTGGTTCCAGTTGACCGATTGTTGTTAACGACTTTAAAAAATTTGTGATAATGACGGAAGAAGAATGCCTTTCCGGTGCGACATTGAATCTCTTGGGTATTGTCCCACGACTCATTGATTATAGTTCCCAAGTAATTGTATTGTGAGACACGTTCAATTCTCATTTGGTTCACATACAGATTTGCTCCAGTTATGTTTTGCTTGCTGATGATCATTAGCTTGGTTTTGCTGGTGTTTACATCTAGTCCATATGTTCTACTTTTTTCCGCTATTTTGTTCATTAAGTTTGCAGCCCTTCTATGGTATTGGAAAACACCCTTGTATTACCGATACAAATTGAATATCAGGGGTCGAATTATGCACCTCTGTTTCACCCGCCTTAAGATTTTGACCCGGTCTGTATATTCTCCCTCTATTCGGAGCACCGCTGATTGATTCCAATACAGGTTAGTTAGTATTTTTAGGTCTTTTATGTCAATCTCTATCCTCTTTAGCACTTCCATCATTTGTTCATGATTAACTCTATCTAAAGCCTTATTGTAGTCAATCCCTTACTTTAATAAAAATTAGATGCCTACGGTAAGCAGGACACCTGGCAAGATGTGCTCTATTGACTGGGAAACCTAAGGAAACTAGACGTAGACCAAAATTGAGACAGACGAATGATATAGACAAGGATGCCAGGAATATCGATGTCTCAAACTGGCACCAAGCAGCACAGAATAGGATCGAATGGAAAAACAGGCTTTGAAAGGTGGAAACTCAACTAGGATTGTAGCAGCAATGATGATGATGCCTCGAGATAATGTATGTTTTACATATTTGTGTGAAAGCTATTCCGTTTGTCACCAGTCAAACTCAATAAAGCTGTTTTTGTAGAATCTAAAACTCATAAAATGATGGTAAGATGTCAAAGGGAAGATCCCAAAAGAAAAAGGGTCATTCGATATCAGTCTGTGACAAAGTTTATGGTAGCTAACATATCGAATTCGTAAGATATCACACTCCCCGATCAGCGTTGATAATTTATGACACATTATTATTGTGGTAAATTTATTTATGATGTATAATATAAAAATATTGTAGATGAAAATGTCATCTTTCAAGATAACAATGTAACAAATTATAATTAACATGATAAAAATATAAATTAAGTCAAAAACAATGTTGTTGACGACTTGTGGTAGCTTACCAGTGTTTAAAATAAAGTATAATATATTTCTAACGTTACAGTGATAACAATTTCAAGGTTTAAAAGATGGTTTTTAAGTACAAATCTAGTACAGAACCCCATTCTAGTGATGTTTTTATTATTATTTGAGCGATATAATAAGCTGCTCTAGAATTTGGTCATATCATTTCACTTATGTCCATGATACTGATAGGATGTGAAAAAGCTGTGAAAGGTTGGACTGAATATTTACGTGGGTTTGAATTTCTTGTTGAATAAAATATACTCCTTTAATATTAAGAGAGATATAATTTACTCCATTTAATACTACAAGGCAAGGTAAACGGAAGAAGAGGGCCAGGTCGAAGAAGAACGTCATGGCTTAAAAACCTGAGAGATTGATTTAACAGATCCTCTGCATCTCTTTTCCGAGCTACCGTCAACAAAATTACTATAGCCAATTTGATAACCAACGCTCGATAATCGAGCACGGCACATGAAGAAGAAGAAGTTGAATAAAATGACTTAAACTGTTAAAGAAAATGATACACTTGTTGACCATTTAAAAAAACAATATATTCTCATTTGATTTACAATTGTCTGCTGTACAATTACAATTTGCTGTTGCGCTATTTGGCGCGTAATTTAAAATGTCAGACAGATACTGATATTGAGCCTAATCATTTCTTGGATGGCGTTGTGGATTTCCTATGCTTAAAACATGTTCCGATTTGTATCATGGAAGTATTTTTAAAGTAAAGTAAAGGTTTACTTGCATAAGTTTCAGAAGATGGTCGCCGCCATTTTTAAAGATTTCATCAAGTAGATTATCAGAACCAGAGGTTTTGGTATTTTTTAATTTTAAAAGGGCTTCTCTAATTTATTCTACAGTGAGAACTAACTATTTTGTATTACAATTTATTTCAAGTATAAGAATAGGGTCCTCTACCTGGTTACCACCAAGAAGTTCTTCAAGAAGTGAAAGACTTCTTCAATAGCATTTATACAACAACTAGCATACTACCCACATTTCTAACTATCCCACAGAAACCAAACCAAATACTTCGAATCAGATATTAACAAATGGCTGGCACATTAATTTTATCGCAATATAAAATTAATGAGCCGTATGTTAAAACTGTTTCTGAAGATCACCGAATTTGAATTCAGAAAAGGTCTGGGAACAAAATAGGTACTGTTTGTATAAAATATGTCTAGATGTTAATCAAGATCCCTATGTATGTTTTATTGATTACAACAAAGCATTCCTCAAAGTGATATATGAGCAACTTCTTAAAGACAAAAACATAGATTCCAAAGACATACGCATATTCACTAACATTTATTGTAACCAAAAAGCTACAGTACAAATTGAAGAGGGATCAAGATGAAATAAATATAAAAAGAGAGGCCAGGCAAGATTGTATGGCACTTGAAAACGGAAATATCGGTGTAAAAGTGAATGGAATTCCGACTAAAATACTAGGTACCCTGATCATACCATCATCATTGTAGAAAATGTAAATGATTTACAAAAATAGTAGAAATAATTGAAGAATGTGTCCAAATACCAAAAAAAATTAACATCGAAATTAATAATGAGTAGATTTAAAGTGTTAACTATCTGGGAATATATGTATGTGAACGCAAAGAAAGATTACGAATAAAATGAATGAAATCACAATAAAAATTGAGAAAGCGAGACTTTATTGGAAGATAATGAAATCAACTTAAACTTAAGATACCCGTCAGATATTTTTGATAAAACCATGTTGCAAGAGGTAAAATAGATGATAGTAAAAAGATCACCACATTTTTATCTGCAATGCCTAAAAAAATTTAGTTTAGTTGTAAGATCCATTGATATTTTATTTCGTTTTTCAAGATCTACTATGTAAAATCTTTAAGAATACTAATTAATATCTATGATACAGGCAATATTTCAAGAGATTGGCTGGTTTCAGAATTTATTACGTTACCAAAGAAACAGGGAGCGAAAAAGTGCGAAGAATATAAGTTAGTAAGTCTAATGAGCGATACACTAAAACTTTTTCTTAAAATTATACATCGCAGAACATACAATCTATGCGAAGAGAGAAAACAAGACACACAGTTAGGATTCATGAAAGGCGTAGGGACGA